GAAAATAGATATAGGCAGTTTTTTATTGGCTGTTGGCTAGCTGGCTTTTTATTGGTCTAAAATATAAATTAAAGCGCCAATCTCTTTATTTTTACACGGAAATTTACAGTCAGTAAAATTTCGGGCTTACCTTACCATATTATAATGGCGTGTTAATTTTTTTGGTGTGAGTGTAGTGTGATAGTCACACGCTATTTGGATGCATTGTTGATGTTTAAAGTATATTGAGATGTATGAGAATGTCCAGAAAGTGAATATAAATCAACAATAATTTTGATGCATTTATTTTAAGTCCAAAATAGGATGTATGCCATTTTGGTTACTAGGCGAATATAATTCAACCACCATTTCTATAAATTTAATGTGTCCTGAATTATTACATGTAGAAATATGTATGTAGTAACTAATCTACTTTTTTAAGTTGTCACTTCAATGATTTGTGGGAATTGTGCGTACTACGTCAGCATAAATGAAGTAAATTGACAAGGTCATGGCCAGTGGTATATAAGCACTGAAATGTATACTAGTGTTTATTTACTTGAAGTCATAGTGTTGTGCACGTTAGGAATTGTTAAAACGATTAAATGATGTTGCAAAGTACTCCTACTGCGTCTACTTCAAGAAATATATCATCTTTATTGTGTGATGTAACAGCTATATTCCAAAGGATAATGTTGTGTTGTATATTTTATACATGGACACAATTTAAGGAAGCTTTAGACACATTTATGAAGGTACTAACTAAGTTGTTCTTTATTTCTTTGAAAGGAATCCAATACATCCTATCGTGTTGATTCAAGTAAAAAAGATCGACCCGGTGCTGATGACTACAAGTTTGTTAAGTTTAAATGCACTTTTGGAAGTCATCGTGCTCCCCGAGGTGCTGGCTTTAGGAACAGAGGGTAAGTTGGCTGCGTGTGCAAATTTTAAAAATTTTAAGGTTCAAAAGTACATCATGTCAGTCAATAATTCTAGTCCAGCGGAAATCCAACGTATACATGATAACCAAGTACAAAACTGTGCATAACCATCCCTGCACAGCAAGTTTTATGTCCACCGATGTATCTAGACGTCGGTTATCATCACAAGAAATGGCAATTATCCAACCGTTCATTGAAAGGAATACTGATGTCCATGAAATCATGGATCTAGCACATGAGAAGTTCGGAAAAGCGCTCCTGTATAACGATATTAAAAACATGCGGGCTAAGATAAATAAACGTAAGTCCTATCAAAATAAATGGTGCAGTAGAATAGAAATTGGTTGTTTGGAAGAGCTGCTTCATCGACTGAGGCAGACAGGTCCAGTTAAAGTTTTGCAGGACAACGCAGGCTTTGTATCTAAAATCATTTTTGCTCGTAATGATATGATAGACGTGTATCATAAGTTTCCAGAAGTAGTTGGAATCGATTGTACTTACAAAACGAATAAGATGGGGTAAGTTTCAGTACAACAAGGTATAATTCCTTTTCCAAATTTGTTACAGATGGCCTTTATATCAGTTTGTTGTGACTGATGGATTCGGAAGAGGAAGGACTGTTTTGTTTGCTCTTACTAGGAGAGAAACGTTTGCAGATATCAAGGAGATATTGCAAACGTTTAAGAGATTTATGGTGGATACATCGAAAACATTAACATTCACTGTCGACTGTGCAACTGCACAGATGAAAGCCCTAAAGGAGGAATTCCCTAGTTGCAATATTGTTTTGTGTCTTTTCCATGTATGCCAGGCATTCAGAAGGAAGGTAAGTTACATTCCCATTAACTGACATAGGGAAAACAGTTCCCAAACCAGCTTGTTAAAAAGTGGTTGTATCGAATGGCGCACACGCGCAGTTATGACAGGTAGGTTAGCAAATCAGAGTATATTGCCAAAGGTTTTGGCGTTACCTAAACCTCATAAGTATTGTAGACGCTGAGGCTGGTGCTTACATTAGAAGGTACTGGCTAAGAACACGCAAATATTGGGCTGCATCGTGCAACAGGTTCACCATCAGCATGGGGAACAATACTAACAACAGAGTTGAGAATGCTCATAGGCAGTTGAAAAGATATCTACGTAAAGGTGATCCTATGGAACTGACGCTATGGAAAATATGGAGGTGGATCGACCACACAACCATGCGTAAAATACGTCAGGGCCAGTGGATGCTTGCTAAATACTACAATTACGATGTAAGTTCGAAGATAATTTACGATTTATCCTAGGTACCTAATTCCCTGAAGTCTCATTTACGGAGTCTCACACCGTTTGCTGCCCAGAAAGTTGTGTTAGATTTACAAAGGCGTTCCTTCTTCTTCCATTCAATATCTTCTACCTCAGTTGTTTACGCAGAAGGTGGTCACATATTCTTCGTAAACAGGAACGAGGCGAAATGCACATGTTGGACATACTGCGCATACAATTTGCCTTGTGCACATGTCGTTGAGGCGTTCTTGAACTCATATCTAAATTGTGGTATGTTCCATTTCTTTAAATGTTACTCTTAGATATTCTGAGGAATAGTGAGAGGTGGACACGTGTATATAACACAACGGACAACATTCCGAGGGCCATCCGGTTAATACCGGAACCAAACAACGCGTTTCGAAATGCTTATGAACGCTTAAGATGTCGTCTCAACAGTCTGAACCGAAGAAATCCGGATGCTGCACTGCGGGAAATAGCGGAGTTTACCAGAAGGTTGGACAGTTTGCTAGCAAATGAACCGCAAACAACTTTAAGATTACGACGTGCCCCTGTTAATCGATTATTTTTGTGAAAATATTTGTATTACCTTTTTATTTCCATTTGTATTCAGAATATAAACATGTATGTATAAACTGCAGTTACACTTCCTTTCCTTTCAAAAGGCTAAGACCGACAGTTTAAAGAATACTTTGGTTGATTGTTTCGTTAAGAGAGCGCTTTGAAAGTCACTTAGAAATTAAAACGATCTGTGCCTTATTTACTACGTTTTTCAGCCGAGCATTTGCGGTTCATAGCATATCATGAATAACGGTGATTAATACGATTTATCACTTAGACCGCAACACCACCAAGCCTACTATATTCATAAACTTATTCTAACCTATTCATCGATAAGGCCTTTTTATGGTAAATGAAGCTCTTATTTACCCACCATTTTCTCAAATAACGCTGGTCATGCTTACAATGATACCTAGGTGCTGAATTGAGTCTTTTAGTTCTGAAATAACGGTAGTTCGAAACTAATTTGTCCTGTGAGGGATGGAACAGAGCGGATAAGCAAACCCAGTCGGTTCCATTTACTTTCAATCATGATAAGAAACCAGCTCTTAGTTTTAATCTCAAACAATAGCAGAACGGTTAGGCAGTTTACTTATTGAATAAGGTTACTATATTATAAAAGTTTACCTTATTTGGCTGAATCATTAAAGGTTCAGCATAACCCTTGACTACCAACATAAAAACTGCGAACTTTAGGCTAAAAATCACCTTAAGAGTAGTATCCAGTGACATAAACTGATCTACACACTGCTAAATGGGAAAAACATGCAAAAAAACCTTTAAAATTCAATGGAAATCGAATTCACGAAAACATATAACCAGCCGACGCAGGAACTCATCATGACCTTGAAACTGACTGTAGCCTCTTTCAAGATATTGAATATTGTATGCTGTGACAGCGATATTTCGAGGAGTGCGTTCCGGTAGCTCTGTGCTCGGTAGTCATTTGCAAGTGACTAACTGCCCTTAACATGTTAATGCACTTTTAAAAGATATACGACTATGAATAAACTAGATTTTAAGCAGCTAATATAATGCTTTTCATTAGTGTGATAGAATGTTAGAATAACAATGCACCTAGCTAGCGAAATTATGGAGAATTACAGTCTTTTTGCGGGGAATCCACGAAGAACCTTCAGCCACGCATGGGGATTGAGGAGTTACCTGCTCAGTTCTGTTGCCACTAGTGTCTGTGGTGCTCCGGGAGTTTCGGGAAACTAAGTGAATTCATCTGTCCTATGAATTATATAGAAGTATTTATTTAACTGTAAGTGGTGGAATAACGACCCTCAGGGTGTCAGGTCATTTCACAGCGATTTTCGTTCGCTTTACATGATAGTGGTGGAAGGATAGCTTCAAGTCAAGAACTAAATATATTAGTGAACTGCTGTTGGATTCAACCAAAGCTACAACAGTCGTGTTGCGCGACAAACTTCGGAAAAGTTTACCGAAGACCAGAAAGCTTTACTTCCCAACCGAAAGCGAGCACAGTGGAACATAGGGCTTCGAGCTAGAGCCTTAAAGTTTTGGTAGCAGCGGTGTTTATTTTTACGGGATGGAGTTGCTAGCCCCATGCTCAATCTCCCCATCAGTCTCATAACTGCTTTAGTGAGGCAAAGAAGTGCGGGAGCCGGAAATCAGACCCCTAACCGCCTGCGTGGTTTCCGAGCACTCTGTCTCTGTGCTACCGTTGCACTAGCTCGTGCAAAACGATATTGGATACTGGAGTATAGTAAGCTGTTACTGAAGATCATCGTAGTTAAGAACCTGGACATGCGCACTTGTTATAACATTCTGCATGAGTTCTCATCTACGAACCTTGTTCTATCAGCTGTTATTGGATATAACTAGTATTCTAGCAAACGGTACTCATCTAGCCTTATTCACTCAACTAGATGTTACATGGCTCTGTTTTAAACCGTCTCGTCGAATATAATACGTGTTTGGTCTCTAATTGAAACAGCTTCCGTTTCATTTGATACTGAATTACTTTCATTGCAGTCTGACGTCATCCCCCACTCACAAAATAGTCTTCATCGGTCAAAACAAGCCCAAGTTTAAGATGTTGGCAATCTAACTGATTAGAAGACAAAAATAAATATTTGTTGCATTTTACTGCATCCAAGACGTGTTTTGACCATGGTGATGACAAGTCTTACCACACGGCTTAACTCTTGCTTGTGTAAGTACTACTGTAAAACCATCACTGTTGTTTGGTGGCATACGTTTGGATACGATATCTTCGGTGTAGAAAAACCCACTTATTTTCACTTTGGTATGAATGAAAATGGTGTTGAAATTATGTGGTTGTTTCACAATTGTAGACGTACTGAGAAGTTGAAAGGAGAGTAGCTTTTCGTCGATCACTGCAACTATCATACATTAACTTTCTGTTAATAATTACTGCATGACTAAATCGCCCAACCACGAACAGCTGGTTGCTTTTGATTATCAGAATTTGAGTGATTGTTTTTCTGTCTGGCTGACTTTCATCAAGTAATCTCTCCTGTATGATTGACCTAAAAGAGATAGCTCCAAAGAAATTAAAAGTGCTGTGTCGTAACACGTTACTTACCAGACGTGCCAAAAAAATCAGCAGTGTTATATGTGTATTGATGCTTTCACTGGTTTTCAAAACACTCAATTTGGTCTGTATTCCTTACTCACCTCTCCTTTTGGCACGACACGGATAAATATATGGTGTGTTAGTGAGACTCGCCGTTTATCTCCAGTGAGCAGAGTCACTCACCTTGCGTATACTTAGCGTTAATTCGATAGACAAATACTCAGTAACCAATTCCCCACCTCTATCTCTCTGCCTAACTAAACTGGATTTTTGGCCTTTCGTCCTATCCTAATGTATAAGTACATGCTCTGCTTTCCGAGTAAGACGTAGGACTTAAGCAACACATCTGTTTCGCCCTGTTCTCTGCTGCCTTTTCTAGTTGGCTCTACGACTCCTCGCAAGCTTTCATTTCCTCCTCCCATGATCTCCATGTCACCCTCAGATACTCAACCCATCCGAGTACCTGACGTGTGATGTTATTTGAAGATATCAGTATTGATGTTTTTGTTAAACTACTTAGTTTACTAAGAAATGTCAGCCTACGTTTGGCTAAATTCCTGTGTTCAGATATTCTGGCTCACTCCATTCAACCAATTATTGGATGCCAGCATCTGTTTACTGTGAGGCCTTTATTGACATGGATTACAAATCAAAGTCTTGGGTCAGTTGCTTAAATATTTCACCATTATCTAACCCAACAGATATGACATGAAAGGAGGTAAACTATGAGTATAAGAGTTTCAGAGGATAATTTTGAATGCAAACATAACAATGACTATTTCTTAGATAACTTACGGTGAATTTCAAATACTTTTATCACACTGAAGTCGTATTATCTCTTGCTTAAAATACATATGTGTGTAAATACGCCCCATAAACGACCTGGTACAGCCCAGGATGGATGTGGACTTCGGTCTTCCTCACGAAATGGTGTCATATGGCCATGCGGCCATAGCCTCTGCCAAGTAACTCCTGTTCACTGCCTTCACGCGGTGAGGGTGTTCACAAAAGTTGAAGTAAAAATGCTAACGTCTGGCGCTTGCGATCGGACTGGTGGACATGCTGGTCTACTTGGTGGGTGGCTGCAAAACCCCGATTGCAAACCTGTGGCTTGTGTGCGCTCCAGAATTGGAACAGATCAAAGAGCGTATGAATGTGTTTTAGTCACCGGAAACCATGGGAACGTAGCTCGTAATATCGATTCATTGCTTTGTGGTTAAGAATTCATATCATAGGTTCAGAGGGAGTGAGTGATCAAGACAGATACCTGCTTCGGTTTGGAGATGCGAACAGCGTACCATGCCTCACAGATTATTAGATTTTGTGTTGTGCCTCACTTGGTGCCCATAAGGCACAAAGTTTGTATCCTGATAACAACATATACATACATAAGAATTCCTATATTGGTAAAGATAAGTAAACGGCGTTTCTCTCGTTTTTACTTTTTTAGAAAGAAAATGGGTGGTAGTATGACTAAAATATTGCCTGGGTTATACATTGGAGGCTTTGATAATGCTAAAAATGAAGAGGAACTAATAGCAAATTGTATATCTCATATTCTTGTTGTACAAAATTCTATAAGTGATATTGATAGGGTAAGTTAATGGTTATTCTTTATTACTACTATTTCTCTTAACTTGTTTGCTGTTCTTCAGTTAATCAGTGTAAAAGAGGTTTTGCGTATGTGTTAATTCGTCGTTTTTTTCTCTGAAGTGTGGTTCATCAGCTTGCATACTTAAACAATTTACCTTGATTTTAATACGTGTCCCACCTACTTTGATTCGTTCACAACTGACAGCTGCTACCTAGACTTAGTGATCAGACTTGCATCTCTGAATAACTCCATGAGTTACAATACATGAAACGAATTTTCCTACAGGTTGTGCCATGCTAAAATGGTCGCTTGGATAGTGTTTAGATAAAAATGCTTTTAGTATTATAACTATTCTGGTTGTTCACTCTGAGGAGTTGGGGTTTTGAAAGATTGGCCCCTTGTAAATCGTAAATCTTGACTTACCCTGTGGTAGAGTCTCTGTAAAGACAACTAGAACCATTCCAAACAGGCTATGCGCATGATCAGCAACAAGTACTTGTCCCCTAGGCTCTGCAATCATTCAACACTAGTTGCCTTTCCCTTTCAAACACTTCAAGAAGTCAGTTTACACGGTGTAGAAAGCCAGGAAGTAGCAACCTCATCAAACACTTCAATTTGTTCATTCACTCTCTTCAGTCTAGTTGAATTGAAAGTATCATATGACTATGATAAATCGGTTCGACCTTATTGACTAGTGGCTTTCAGTAAAAAAAAAGGGCAATTCCATATTAGATAACTTCGTTTAATATTATACTATAATATGGTGTTGTTGGTAGGTGTATGACGTTTGGAGAACAATTTGTTGTCCATAATCCTATCAGTGTATTCACGCGATCTCCTAACTTGCTTTATATGGCATCACTCCCTGCTGTCTTTGATTGCAATTTTTTGTATATCTGGGATAGGTGTTGCATCATTTCAATTGCACGTGTTTAGTGTTGATTTGATGAACAAAGAATCGATGATTAACCTCTCTCTCCATCTAACTATATTTCTTTAAAACATTCACTCTATTTTCTATAGTTTGGTTTGTAAGGGTTAGTTTTGTTTTTACGAGTTGATCACGGATTGGTATCAGTAAATGGTATACGAGCTTACCTTGTAACCGGAAGGTCATAGGTTTAAACCCCAGTGGGTGCATACTGCTGATGATTTCCAAGCTAGGATGAAACAGTTGTCCAGTACTCCCTGGTTTTCAATGGTTATCTAATTGATATCAATCCGTGATCAACTCGTAAAAACATAACAAACCCTTACAAACCAAACTATAGAAAATTAATCTGATGCTCGCTAGTAACTTACTACAGGTTGGAGTTTCCTGAGTTCTAGTGAGAAGTCGTGACCAGTGAGGTCCAATTAGATGTCACGTGTGGATGGATGTCCCACCAACGACAATGGTTGGGGTGGCGCTAAATCACGAATCGGTAGAAGTTGGAATTCATGAGCCATTGAATCGGGTCCCAGTGGCTGAATGGTATACGAACTTGCCTTGTAGCCGGAAGGTCGTGGGTTCGAATCCCAGTGGGTGCGTACTGGCGATGATTCCCAAACTAGGATGAAACAGCAGCTGTCCAGTACTCCCTGGTTTTCAATGGTTCTCTAACTGATACCAATCCGTGATCAACTCGTAAAAACTTTCACTCTATCCCATCCTATCGTGTGATTAAATGTGAGTGAATGCATTGCAATGTCCAAGATATTTTCCAGTTTACTTAATTTACAAGGGCCAACCATCATTGCTCTAACCAAATTCCTGTGTTCTGATAATCGAATTGAAACCGATCGACTAGTTTAACCTATGTAATTGACATGGCATGGTGACATGGCTCAAAATCGTTGTCAATGGCGCAGATGTATTCAATCTCTGTAATCTTTCATATTCCTCTCTACCATTACCCATTCTGTTTCACTCTTATACTTGTCAAACTCTATTGATTCTCTTCACTCATCTTCTTGTCTACCTCTGTGTGCTATTTGGAACGTGGCAACTCGAACTGCTGCACTTCGGTGCCAAGTTCTATGTTGAATCCAGACAGATGTAATTGACGTAGCAGTCATTACTTGTTATTTAGTAAATTACACTTTTCTTAATTGGATCTATCTGGTCCTTAAGCTGACAAAGGATATCTTTGATTGAGTTGATTAGTTTAGATGCAACCCGAATCCCATCCATATTAAAAACCTTAGACATACTGAAACATGAAAGAGGTTTGTGCATCTCTACATGTGTGTGTGTGGTCATCACCTGGCTGCCCACTTAGTGTTAGTTAATGTTTCCCGTAGAATAGCTGAGACAGAAGGAGGTGAACCCAGGGGGACAGTTTCTTAAGGCAGGTTACACGCCTGTCGTTTAAAGTGGCTTTCAGATTTTTGTCCGTATAAAGATCCTGCTGCTGATTATGGACTGCTGTAGTGTAAGTAGGAATGTACAGTTTCTGAGTTCGACATTTTTTAACCCTCAACCCTCCTTAGAGCGGAGAGGTAGCATATCTAGTTTGTTGGTCAGTGCTTTTAGTCTGACCGCTAACTAAATGACCTTTCTAGCATGTTAAGACTTACAGAAACATTCTAGCCGGTGTAGCTCGCCGGGTCACTGAAACATACAAGCCAGATCCCGAAGCAAGGGTCGAAGCTTAACAAGTATTTTGACTAAGAAGACTAAACACACAAGGGGTCTATAGTTGTCTACTTTTTACATATTTTCAGTCACAGGTGCATATGCGCCACAGCCTGATTAATCTATGATAGGAATTTAAGTGGGCGTTCTGCTTATGACTTATCACGAAGTGGCTTGTTTGTATCCAATGGCTTTTTGTCGACAGTCGTCAGACAAGACAATGTCTGTCCTTATGCCTGAATTTCGTGCCGAGCAAGAGTGGATAATTATCTGAACAAAATCATCATAGACGATCACAGCTGTCGGTTCTTCACCACCGATCAATATAGATACCCTCAATAGGAATTTTCAGTTGGCCTAGTTCCTCTACTTAGGCGCTAAAACTAACTGCTAATATGACTATTTATGAATGTTTTGCATTTCTCAGGATAGCTTCTGACAAAACTCACTTGGTGCATCGTCAGAATTGCAGTCAATGAGTGCACGAACGAAAATGCATTGATGATAACTACTATCTTTACTTTATTCTTACTAACCTACGGTTAAAGAAAATTTCATGTTTATTAACTTGATGGAATTTTGCAGACAACTGCATGAATGACTGAGGACCGGGTTAGTCAAAACTTCATTCGTCAAACAGACGACTGTGGATAAAGGTAACACACTTTTTGAGAAGGCTGCGCCTGTACACATTGTGATCGAAAAATTTAAGTTTGCGTAGATGTGTTTTCCATTAAGCTGAAAGATGTATAATGTCAATTTCCAAATATCTGTGTAAGTGGATAGATTAAAAGCACTAAAAAGTTATTTATATTAGATTTGCTAAAGACATTTTAAGTAGTTTACTGCGGTGAACATAGAAAGAATTATCAAGCGGTTGTCTCAAAACATGAGATAATGAGGGACTAAATTACCTTAGGTTTCTTAAAATTTTGTTAAACTGTAGTCGTTGAAGGTGTAAAGCGTGACTTTTGTGCGTTCAAATGAAATTCATTATCAGTATCCTTTCGCTTCATATCTTAACCCTTTGGCAGATTCGGGAGTATAATCGTACCTATCGGCGTCTAACACCTGCCGTAACACTTCTGTTTATTATAGTTCTTTTCAGTTCCCTCAATCTTTTTTGTTGACCTTTGTGTGCTACGGGGAGTGTTTCAACTTCAGCTGCTGCACTTCGGTGCAGAGTGCTATGTTGAAGCTGAGTCAGTCAGTCAGTTATGAGTCCTAACTTCTGTCAACTAGCGATGTGTGGCATCACTGCCAGCCACTGGTTCTGTAACTCGTCATTTCATGATCTTGGATTTACATAAAGCAGAATGACGTCATACCATACCTCGTCAGTTGCATACAACGTATACCAGCGAGTACTGAACTGAATACAGAACGAAATCATTTGGAGTTCTAGCTAGAAGTCGTAACCAGTTGGGGCAGTATTGAACAGCTGCCACCTGGTTTGAGACGAAATCAGCAGTACGTACCAATAACGCCATTACCGGGATGGAACTCAGACGAGCCGTTTAACGATTCATTCAGTGTAACAGAATCTAATAACCCATCAATTCTAACTTTTATCGATTCGTAATTTTTAGTGCCACTAGCAGTTAATGTCATCGGTGCCTATTTTTCCTCCCACTAGACCTGGTGGACCCTATGTGCCGTAACTCCACACTAGAACTCCCAGACAACTTCATCCTGTAGTCAGTCCAATACTCTCTGTTTTTCACCGGTTCTCCAACTGATATCCATCCATGATTTAATTTGAAACCGATCAAATCTCTACAAACTAGCACTTGAAAATAAAGTGATATCGATGGTAGCTGCTCTAAATTTTTTCACACTGATGTATCATCATGTTGAAAATTTGTGTACAATTTAATAATTTAACATGTATGTCATTGTCGAATGCAAATGATTTCACATAGACTACAGTGGGGGTACAATCAACAACACAAAATAAGTATTTTCACATTTACACAACAAGACATAGATATATGGGAACAACAGTAAAACAGTCAATGGACCTGATTACCCATTACGGACAAAGATTACAAATCATACTGTAAATCTGATCTAGATAAAACAAATTCCTTGTTCAACATAAGTGACAAGATCTGATGAGGATCTCATTAATCAGATCATGAACTGTACCGATTTTTTCCGTATATGTCAAAACCTGGTTGTATAGATGGGAGAATACTTATTTTGTGTTGTTGGTTGAACACCACTGAGGCATGTCGAATTTATTTGTATTTCACAGTGACATCTTAAATATTATTAAGTTGTGCACAAATATTCAACAGTAATGTGTGTGTGCGTGTACACGAAAGGAATTTGAATTCAGTTTATCCCACAACGTTTATTCTTTTTACTATTAGACGGCTGTA